ATTTTTGGCTGATAAGCTAGAAGCACTGTGAGATACAACACACCTTTTATAAGAAAGGATGAGGAGTGGAAGTGGCACTGTACAGGAAAACACTGAGGGTTCCTTGGTGAACCAGAATTTGGATGAGTTCCAGGATTTTAGTGGACATGAGCTGAGGAGAAGGTAGAGACAGACTAAACTGTAGGGCCAGGGCTATGATTTTGGCTTATAAATAGGTTATTTTTTTTTTTATATTTTGCTTTGTTTTTTCATTAGCCTACAATCCTTATTATTTGAAGATACAAGGATACTTGGATTTTCTTTGGGTCTGAGTAGATATGTGTCCTTCATATTTCTGTTCTTCACTGAAAGTGAGAGAAGCTCTTCTGAAATAATAGATATTCAGAAAATATTTTCCAGCTCAATTCACCACATATTTCCTGCTTCCTAAATACAACCCTTCCTCCTGGAAGAAGGTTTACTAAGCACACACAGCCAGGAAAAGGAAATCTGGTGTGATTCAATAAGAACAATTTTAGACAAGAATATTGGCCAGTTTAAATAAGTTAAATGGAATAAGTTGATTTGTACTATGACTCTCCTTCAAAAATTGCAGTTGGCAACTTGAAAATAAACACTCATTTCAATTGACAAAGTCATAATGCTTTTATTTTACTGAAGTTTAGCAAGTACATTTTTAACAAAGAAGGTTTACTTTAACTTAATATATTGTAGAACAGAGAAACCATACATGTTTCTAGTCTCTAACACACTACTGCATATTTTTCCCTTAAAAGACAAAAAGCCAAGCTGAAGTGAGCATAGAAAAGCATCAAATATGGTCAAGTTACTTTAGACATTAATAGTTAGCTCCTATTAAACTGGTCAACCTAATGCAAAAACAAAGCTTACATCATTGTTTTTAAAATGCACACAAATTCTTTTTTATAAAAAATGTAATATAGATTGAATAACTCCTTCAGTAAACAAAGTTTTGCTGATAAAAACAATTAAAATAACTCTATGTTGAATAGTTTCAGAGATAAACTGGAATCACAAGCATCTTCATTTATGTAAAGCCAGTGAGGACATTTCCAGCCAAGTAAAACTGTTGTGCCATTGCTAAACAGTAATAGTTACCTCCTTTAAAAAAAGAAAACGAGTTAGTTTTTCTGAGGAAAAAACATAATACGTGCTTTAAAATACTAATTTCAATCTTCAGGAACTTAAATGATCTGATGTAGCAGACTTGATTTAATATTGGTAAAATTAAAATTTCTTAACATTTCTATATGCTAATGTGTTAGTTTTCAAAGATCCTTTGAGTTGCATGCTACAGCTTCTTGTTTTTCCACAGCACTGAAGACATCAAAGACTGAAAAGAATCTTCAAAAACTATTATGTCTATGGTTATCAACATTACTTTTCCTTTTGTACAGAATGCCATTTTGAGATCCTTGTACTTTACCGAAACAAGGAAAAGAGAATATCTGGTTATGATCTAAAGGTGATGACAGCTTTAAAGAAACATTTTGTTTCCTCTCCCCAGGTTAGACAACACCATGTATACTGCATGAAAAGAGACAAATTGTGAATATCATTGAAACCATAGTGTTTAGTCAAACTGTTATCTAATTAAATATTGATGATCAAGAGAATCCATTCCATCCTAGAGTTAGAAAAATATTTCATGGTAAAAGTTATAGTTGGAAACAATTTTCAACAACAATTCCACCTCATTGTGTAACCTTCCTCTTTTCCATGACCATGGCTTATAGCCCCAATATCTATTCAGCTATCTCATAAAAATTGGCTTTTGATGACAAAAGAAGACGAAAAGAAAGTGTTGGGTGATCAGTACAAATTCATCACTCAGGCTTAAAAAACACTTAAATTCTATGTTTGCATCATCTTCACATACAAAGCAGAATACATTATCATTGTTGGACTGATATGTCTTATGTAAAATATTAATTCAATCTAGTCAAAGCTTAGAATTGTCAGGAGCATAATATACCCCTCTAATTTATAAACTCTTTAAAATGTTTTCAAAGGTAAGGTAATAGAAGAATAAAGGATGTGGTTCTATGTTAGTCAGACCACCTGAAGGATCAGACTTCATTAGAAGGCAACCAAGCATTTTGCCTTAGAGCCCATGGAATTCATTTGAACTTTTCTGGGGAATGAGAAAACAAAGCTTGAATTTTAAGAAAATATCTAGTAATCTGTCATTCTAGAGAATCGCTTAGACTCCTTTGTGGTGTCTGAGAATATTTATTTTGACAAAATTCACCAGATAGTTACTCAGTTTTCCAGTCATCTCATCCTCTGTATACACAGCCTAAATGTCAAAAGAAAACACCTCAACATTAAACAGCAGACACTCATTTTACCAGAAATAAAATTTATACAATATAACTAAAACTTAAATCATGCAATACAAATTGTGAACATTACAAATTTGAAAGTAAATAGTAAGCAAAATAACATCCTGTTTAAAAAAAAAAGTACATAAACACAGTAGCAACGGCAAAAAGCAATCACCATTTATCCTCTAGCAAAATGCAGTTTCTAAAAAATCTCCCTCCTTTAATGTTTAATTTTTGTCTTTATTAAAAAAGACAAACATATTTGCCCACACTCTTCATTAAATGTGCCAGATTATAAGGCTTATCAGGAATTGTTTCCACAGAAGTTCAAAAATCTAAAGAAAAACTAAGCCAGCAAAAGATAGTATTAATATGATTTTTTTTTTACTTAGAATACAGTAAGTTGACAATACACAGTAGTAAAACTTTTTTTCTCCTAATTTAGAGGTTAGTAGCAAAATAGACTCCTGTGCAGCTTGCTATACAATGTTGACATAGATTCTGTTTCTCTTTTGCATATACCAATACTGTGATCATAGGGAAAGAGGCAATACTGACCTGCTAACTGACACTGATCCTTGGAGCAATCTCAAAGTTTGCCACATTTCAATCTCAAAATACATTTCAGCTATAATATGAGTGATTTATCACTTAGTAGTAGCTGTCAAAGTAAACTCCGAGATAAAACAAAAACATCTGGAACCATAAACAGAGGAGAACAGTAGCTGAATTTTAATCCAAACCTGGCATGCTCACTTCATTAGGAACAGGAAACAGCTAATTAGTAATTTAATGCTTCATGTTTTTAAAAGAGGTTTGTACTTTAGCTCCAAACAGAGATGATCTAGTATGCATTTTGGATGTAAACAAGATTAAAGATCAGGAAGAGCAATGAACATAGCCTCTCCAGAGGAATGTTAGGGAGTTTGGGAACTTACAAAGGGTGACATACTGACATTTCAGGAGAGCTGGCAGAGTTTATTGCTTTAAGATTTATAAGATAATTAAAAGGCGGAATTCAAATACATCCATAATTGACCATTGTAAAAATAAAAGTGAAGGCCCATACAGTCTATTGCTTAGTACAGTGCTGTTTGACATGGGCATATCCCATGGTACAGGAGTCTGGTGTGTCCTCCATAGAGGAGATGAGCCTCTGGTTATCAGTTTTCTTTAAAGGAGCATACCTGGTTGTTCCAAACTCAAGTAAGTGTGAGATTTGCCTTCTGTGGTACATATCTGATGCTTATGAAATAAAAAGCTAAAATCAGGCATCATAAAGAAATTGGATATGTGGCAAAAGGCCAGAAGAAAATACATGGGGATTTCTTATAGTTCAACTGAAGTTAATTAAACATGTCTATTTGTAAAAAATATAATTAGTTTATGTTTAAGTAGCCATTAATTTGAAAATACTGTTCAGTTTCCCCTATAATTCAATATAAGCTGTTTGATTATCAAATAATGAGACATTCCAGGATGTTATTTTTAAGAAATGCCTTTGTTATTCATTTCAAATAATTGATATTAATAAATTTCAAAAAAAAATGTATTTGCCTCAGTTCTTATCCATGATTTATTTTTTTTTTATTTATTTATTTATTTTAATTGGAGGCTAACTACTTTACAATATTGTGGTGGTTTTTGACATACATTGACATGAATCAGCGACGGGTGTACATGTGTCCCCATCCTGAGCCTCCCCGGCACTCTTTCACTGAATTGGGTTAAAGCAACATACCTATTCCATACAAATTGATCTTCTACAGTATAGAGAGAGCACCAGAAGCCTTAAAAAATCCTTCAGAGCATGGAATGACTGGAATGTTACACTGATATGAATTAATGTGATGTTTTATAATGTGTAGGGAAAGTGGCAATTCCAACAGAAATTGCATGTACTGCCACAGGGAACTGGTTATTGGAGAATGCAGAAAAACTCAGTTGGAATTTTGCATAGAATGTGTGGTATCTCTGTCATATCAGAATTTAATTCTAAGGCAGATGTAAAAATAACATAGTGGATTAGTTTTTGCTTGGTGGAAAGAGAGCACTTTAAGAGGGGAATTGAGTTTTTTGATACTATTTAGCACATTGGAGTACTGCTGTATTAGATTCTTTTGTTGTTCTTGTTTAGTTGCTAAGTTGTTTCCAACTCTTTTGAAACACCATGGACTGTAGCTCCTCCCAGGAGCACCAGGCTCCCCTGTCCATGGGATTTCCTAGGTAAGAATACTGGAGTGGGTTGCCATTCCCTTCTCCAGGGGATCTTCCTGACCCAGGGACTGAACTCACATCTCCTGCACTGGCAGGTGGTTTCCCAAGGGAAGTCCTATTAGATTCTTAGGAGGCATGAACATAATGATAGGTATTTGCCACCAGCCTTTGGTGGGTATCCATTAAGTAAACAGTTAAATTTACTTGAGGCCATGTCTTGGGCATTTCAAGCAAAATGGCCCATTTGTTTCTAATCAGTGGAGCAGCTTAGGCATCTGGCCATGTCTAGACAGAGGGTGAGCAATGGAAAATATCCATGATTTGACTGACTCATAATACCTGCCTTTCTCCATATATATATTTCTTGGTCTGTTTACTTGTTGATAGCTTAATGAAGCGGGAACAGTATTGAAGATGGAAGGATAGCAGAAAATAATAAAGGGGTATTTTTTTGGTTCTTAGTTGTGTGTTTTTATTGTTGCCTTTTATACATGTAAGGAACAAACTAGAAGAAAGGTATTAAATACCTTGCTCTACCATCAAAAAATCAAAGAAAGAACTAGGTGTGATAAAAACCTACAAACTAGAGCTCTCTATATTGCCTTAGAGAACTCTATAGTCAATGTGTTTCTTTTAGAAAGGTGATCTTCAATGCAATGATAATAAATATTGATTATTTGCACATATGAATTACCTCCTCACATTAATTCCTATTAAATCTCAGGTCATCCAAATATAAAGCTATTTCATAGCAATTACAGCTTAAACTGGGTTTGTCTGCATTTTCATTTCTGTCACACCATTTAGAAATAGCATTTTCTGTGTCTTAAAAAATTCTTTTACCTACTTACCCCACTAGGATGATCCGGGTTTAATGTGATAATGTTTATGAAGCACTATGAACTCCGTGAAAGAAAAAGGTCATAAAAGTGTAATGTATAATGTTCAATCATCATTATGATTATTCCCTAAACATAGTGAAGCCCATTCTCTAACACGTTTTTCTTGTATATGCAAGGTTCTAATCATCAGTAATGAACAAATAGTAATCAATGGTTCCATATTTTAAGAATTTGAGTATGAATTTCAAAGAATTACAACACTAGATAAGCAGGTAAATGCTACAGCACCCTATTCGTGCCTATGGTCAGTTGGAGTTCCGGCATCAGTGTTCAGGCTGCACAGAAAAAACAAAAAAACCTGGTCAAAATTTCATTCTGACAAATGAAATCCAAAATCCACTCCAAAAAAAAAAAAAAAAAATCCAAAATGAATTTCACTAAAAAACACAAACATACTTTCTAGTATTTTGCTGAATTATACATTTTCAAGATTTGAATAAAGCTGTGTGCAATAAATGTATTACTTCATTACAAATATCTCTATATCATATGTTCATTTATGTGAGCCTCATTCTATTAAAAGCAAAATTATACAAAGGTGAGCAAAATTGTAGATTTGCATAAGTTAAAGCTCAATCAAATACTCTGGGTGTGATATTGACAATATAAAAATGGGCCAAATGATATCCCCTAACTCTAAACTACGCATTATGAGCTCCTTGTGCATGTTCTACCGTTTTACAACCTGCAGTGAAATGCATCACTAGCTTAATAGGCAAGACACTTAAAAAACATATTTATTTCTCTTTCACAATCTAAAACATGAGTAAAGATTCACATCATTTTCTCTGAATCAAAATCTTTGTTAATGATTGCAATTTCCTTTCAGGATGAGATTTCCTTCCCCAACAGGATGGTTATTTAAAAGCAAACTCTCACTTTAAAAACAAAACAAAACAAAATGAACAACTACTAAGAAACATGTCTATAATGTTTTTTAAGGCTAAATTTAAGTGTAGAAAATTATTTTTTCTACACAGGACTCATATTTTCTTCCAAGTGTTGCCTCAAATCTTATTTACTTATATAATATAAACAAAAGGATTGCCTTAAGAACTACTAGGCTTCATCACAGGCATATTTTGAGCTATTAAATCTTTCTTATTGTGGGCAGTTAACTTATTCATGAACAAATGTCAATATTTTATAAATGATTTACCCTGTTATGTATTACATTTCTATTTTCTTGAAATTTGTTTAATTAGTGATATGCTTTTAATTTGCAAAGGAGCATTATGTTATTTGGTACTAAAATAAAATCACATCTAAAAGATCATGTTATCCTAACGTGAATAAGAAAGAGATAAAACATGCTGGTCAATGGTCCACTTTAGTCTTAGGTTCAATCCAAATTAATTTTATGCAGCTATTTGTCAATTCTGAAATATGTTCAGAATGTGATAAATAAGCAACAGTAATGAGATTACTTTGAGGTTCAGTTAGATATTAGTACAGTAATATAAAAACAGTGCTTCTAATCTGAGAGTTTGAAAAGTAGACCATTACAAGATAGTGGCAGATTTAAGAAAAAAAAAAAAATGGTAACACTTGATTGCTCTTTCTCTAGAGAAAAGCAAAAGCATTGTTTTGAATCATTTTCAGATTGGTCTAGTGCTTATTTTTATAATGTGGTGGTTCTGCAAAAAAAAAAAAAAGATATTTAAGGAAAATTTTAATGACTTTGTCTTACTAGTCCTAAAAATTTCTGACTTACACATTACTCAAAAAAAATACCATTCTTCTTTCTCAAGATTACTTTGGCTATTCGAGGTTTTTTGTATTTCCATACAAACTGTGAAATTATTTGTTCTAGTTCTTTGAAAATACCATTGGTAGCTTGATCTTGAGAAAGAAGAATGGAACTGGAAGAATCAACCTGCCTGACTTCAGACTCTACTACAAAGCCACAGTCATCAAGACAGTATGGCACTGGCAAAAAGAAAGAAATCTAGATCAATGGAACAGAATAGAAAGCCCAGAGATAAATCCACGAACCTATGGTCACCTTATCTTCGACAAAGGAGGCAAGGATATACAATGGAAAAAAGACAACCTCTTTAACAAGTGGTGCTGGGAAAACTGGTCAACCACCTGTAAAAGAATGAAACTAGAACACTTTCTAACACCATACACAAAAATAA